TTGAATGCTATACTCTGTTTTTCCTTTCTGGGCTCATCAGCTTCTTCCCTCTTTAATTTCTCCTCATGAGTTATCAAAGATCCAATCAGCTCATCTAAGCTAAGCCTAGTCAGATCTTTTGACTCCTCAATAGCTGTGACTTTCGGAGTCCATCACTTTGGCAATGCCCAGAGTACCTTTCGTACGAGATCAGCACTTGGATATTCTTCAACTTCCAGGTTTCTTAGAATGTTGACGATTGTAGTGAATCGATCATTCATTTCTTTGATCGATTCCTCTGGCTTCATGGTGAAGGATTCAAAATCTTGTTTGAGGCTGTTGATTATGGAAATCTTGACATGAGAGGTACCTTCATGGGCGATCTGCAGCTTGTCCCAGATTTCTTTGGCAGTCTTGCATCCCGTGACTCTATGATATTCTTCAGGTCCTAATGCACAATACATTAGTTTAGTCGCCTTTGAGTTTAGCTGGAAATTTTTCTTGTCGTCTTCTGTCCATTTCCGTCAAACTTCTTGACTTCTAAGGGCCCGTCCATCACGATATTCCATAGGTCTGGATCAGTGGAGCAGATGAATAACTCCATTCTATTTCTCCAGTAACCGTAGTGTACTCCTTCAAATCGAGGCGGTCGTGTTTGAGAGAAACCATCAGCCATGTAGATCCCCGATCCAGTCGCAGAACTCGAACCCATCTTCTCCGAAGGATTTCAAGCATTGATTTCGGAGCCGTGCTCTGATACCACGTGTAGGTGGAGGTCGAGCGCGAGACATGGATGAGATTCTCTCGTTCCTCACTTCCTGGAAATAGGAAACCCTAGAAAATTGCTTTCAATTGAGAGAAACGATTTAGATGTAAAAATGAGTAATACGCAGATGCTATGTTTGATCTGAAATGAACGACTGAAAAGACAATTGAGCCTGTTTGAGATATGTTTAAACGCAGCCCACAGAGGAAACCCAAGGCCCCTGTGCGAATTAAGCCTTTTAATGAAATTCCAAACCCAATGCAATTTCACTCCTTCTTCTTCCTCGTCTCTGCTTCTGGAGAAAGCTCCCCTGTTCTGAGCTTATCAATGAACTCTGCAAAACAAGGTTAGAACTGAAGACAAAAGCAAAAATCCAATGAACACAGGCGGTTTTTACGTGGTATCCAGTGCAGGGAGAATAAGGATCCCTACGTTGACTAATCCACGGTTGAAGGATCTCTTCTTGAGACCTTCAACTTATCACTAATAGTCTTCTTCTTTGAAGTTCTTCGTTACAGATATGAAACAAGAACTCTCAGCTTGATGTTGGTGTTAGAAGTATGTTAGTTTATGCTTTTGTGAACAAAGTTATCATGCTTTGTGTTGTGGTGAACAAGGAGTTTCATGTGTTGTGTGATGTTGGACTACTTTAAATGTTTGTTTATGGCGAACAAGGACGTACTCTGTTATGGGAATGGACATGGATGTAATATGTTAGATGTTTTCCAATATATCTCCATGTTCAGTTTGCGGATTAAATTTCGCATTATAGAATTTGTTAAGCATGTCAAATGTGACAACAATGGAAAGTTCTCATATTATGACAAGTCCATGACGAGCTATACTCGTCATAATAGACAAAAATGACAAAATATACTCGTCATAATAAGGATTTATGACAAAAGGGTCACGTCACAATTATAAGTTATGACAAAATGCGTTCGTCATAATATACTGAAATGACAAAATATATTTGTCAGATACGCATTTATGACAAAGGATATTCGTCACAACATAATTTGTGACAAAATAAATTAGTCACAACAATGTGATGGAAGAGTATAAACCCAGTAATATGCCTTCAATTTATGACAAAACATGTTGACAAACTTTTCAGTTTGTCACATTATAATCATTTCCTGACAAAAAACGGATTTGTCATATTAGACTTGTGACAAATTCTGAACCTCTCATGACAAATATTATTCGTCACAAAATACTGTTATGACAAACTATGATCGTCTAATATGACCAACAAATTTCTCAAAAGTATCAATATATGACAAAAATAATGACAACACTTTTCGTCATATTATCTTTGTTTGTCACAATAGATTAACCAGAACCTCATATATAACGGAAGCATATGTGATAAATATGTTTCAAAAATTTGTCACATTTGACCTATCCTGACGGCGGTAAAATGACAAAACGTTGTGACAAACACTTCTGTCATATTAGGGCAAGTATGACAAAATAGGTATCTAATATGACCAAATGGCCCCGTCATAATAGGCCGAATTTGTTGTAGTGACATAGCCGATTGAGATCCATCGATTGGTGAAATGGGTGCAACGGGAGCATAAAATTGTTGCATAAATATTGGACACTCTTGGAGTAGTTGCCAACATTCTTCCAACTTCCAGTCTTTCTTCGTGTCCGCCTTGAAAATAGCTTTCGCTTGACGGGTCTACACAATTAATTAGAAAACAATACACATGATTAAAAATTAGAACAATAAAATTATATCATTAATTAAATATAGATGTTTTAGATTGATAATGACCGATAATAGTAGGGATGGCAATGGGTCGGGTTGGGGCGGGTTTTGTCAAACCCAAACCCATGGGTTTATCCGCAAAAAAAAAAAACCAGGGTAAAACCTGCTGGATTTGAAAAACTCAAACCCAACCCAACCCGCTGGGTATCCACGGGTTCATGGCCATGGGTAGCCGTGGGTTTTTGTTGTAAAAAATTTACAATAACAAGTTTCTTTCAAAATAAAAGTTTAACATCAATTTTCTCATACAAATTATTCATACAAAAAACACCAATCTAGAGCATACAAGCAAACCGCAAATGATCAATACAAATTGTTCAAAATTAAAGATAAACATCTATAAACAATAAGATTAATTGAAAGCTTCTTCCTCGTCAACTAAGTTTCTTCACTCTCCACTTCATAATATCAACTTCATTCTAAACAATTAGAAAGAACAAATTATACATGTCTCCACAAACATAAAGAATATTAGTTGTTTAAGGAAGATATATTATTTAGAATATTAAATATAACGGAAAAGTAATTATATGTGTGTGAGCAGGTACCCATGGGGCGGGGTTACCTAAACCCAAACCAACCCGACCCGGTGAATAGTGTAGCGGGTTTAAACCCAAACCGGCCTAAAACCCGTCAACATGGGTTTTACCCGCGTTGAATGGGTTGGGTCAGGTGGGTACCCGTGGGTTCAGGTTTTGTTGTCATCCCTAGATAATAGGATCTTGTGAAACTTCCATCCAACCTTGGCACAAAACAAGTCCTTCGGGCGTTGTGTAATTCGGATTGCGCTCGCTGCCGGAAGAAGCCATGATTACGATTACAGAGAGTTTGGGAATAAGAGAATTTTTTGTTTGGAAGGTAGGAAGAGAGTTTGATAAGTGTTGGAAGAAAGTGAAGAATGAATTTTATTTATAGAGCTGAAAAATATGGCCGTCGGAAATATGACCGTTGAAAAAATGGTCGATGAAAATATGGCGATTGTAGAATATGGTCGTTGGCCTAAACATACAATAAAACCATTTAAATTCAATATGTTACAAAAAAATTTAAAAGAAAACGAAAAAATAAGATAAAGAGGGCGCCAGCCGCGCGGCCCAGTCCATCTTCTTCCGTCAGGAACCCACTTTTTCCTAGGGATGGCAATGGGTCGGGTCGGGGACGGATAGTGCATATCCATAACCCTACCAAAAGTAGTTTGGGTTTTACCCATACCCACATAAGAAATGGATAGAAAATCCAAACCGTGCCCATACCCGTTCGGGTTTCGGGTATCCACGGTCATCCATGGGTAATAGTTTCTCATTAGAACTCCAACCAATATGTACATATTCACACGTATTCTCACGTTACGTAAGACGAAAATTACGACAATAATTCACTAGAATTAAGAAAATTAATTAAAACAACACAATTTCATAAAAATATTATATATATATGCTAAATATAAAATATGTTAGAGAAAAATATTGATTATTTGTAGACAAAATACACATGCATGTGTATAATCGGGCGGGTTCGGGTTGTATAGTGAGAAAACCATGCCACCCATTACCCGCAATATTCGGGTTCGGGTTTTACCCGTACCCACTAAAAAATTTTCGGGTTCGTGTTTTACCCTATCCGATTAGGTCGAATTTGGATATCCACGGTTACAGATATTTTTGTCATCCCTACTTTTTCCTTTTTTTTTTATCTTTTTCAGAAGTGTAAACCCTCCCCCAATACTTCTTTTTCTTTTTACCCTTTTTATGCTCTCATATTGTAGGCTCCCCTCCCTTTCCCTTTTTCCTTTTTTCCAATGCTTGCGGTGCCTGGTCTAAGAGAGCGACAGTGAGGGGACAATGGCGGAGAGAGAAGATGAGGGGGAGAAGATTCTTTAGAGCTTAGGAGAGAGGTACATGTAAATCCATATTTTAAGTGTTAGTAATACATATTTTAAGGATTAATTGATATGAATAGTTTAATAATTTTAAAAAAATTTGTATAAATTAATTTAAGGAGTTTTTCATATTCTTATCATTTTGTCATTACGAATTTCTGGTTTCAATTTCTTCATTACCTTTCAACATATTTCAGGTTCCAAGTATCCAGAGTTCTGGACAAATGTTGGTACGTAATTGGTTCACAACAGAGCAGCAAACAACAAGCCTTGGCTGGTTTGTATGATCAGAAATTGCTGCATTTATACGAGTACAGTATCGAGTTAACAATTCGTTTAACTAATTTAATATGCAGAGGAAGATTGAACATTGAACTTGCCAGCATTGGATCTTGATCACAAGTCAACTGCCCAAATGTCAAAGCAGAGGAACATTGAAATGACTGTAGCTTACACTCTTTCTTCCTACATAGATAGCAAATTTAGACAAGCAAACGCAAAAGAGAGATTTAATTTCGTGCATCTCGCTGCCGCCGCAACGCACGAGATCTGTTTATTTCAGTCTACATATCCACTCCACAGAGATTGTTACTTGGTCACACTTCCTGCACCAAGGCTTTCATGGAGGCCTTGAGAGCAGCCAGCTGCTTATCCTTGTCCGCAATCGACTGCCTGAGCAACGACTCTGTCTCTTTGCTCTTCTCCAGCAGCTTATCCTTCTCCTCCGCAAGCTTCTTCCAGCAATCGGACGAAGGAGCCGCCGCAGCCGGCACCAAAACGGCGCCGTTACTCATGTCCCACCTGTTCCAGATCGGACCAACCCCGGGGCTGACCCCGTACTTGGACCAACCGAAATAGTCATTGACCCGCAGCCGCATCACAGGCGAGCTGTCCACGTACAGGAAACAGAGGCCTTGACGGTTGACGATGAGATGGAAGGTTTGGCCATCTCGAGCCGTGAGGGTCAAATCCGTGGCCAGATTCTTCAATTGGTTGCCTCCGATCCTCACCCCCAGCACCTCAAGCACCTTGAAGGGAGCCGACCCGGTCGGGCCGACCCGGGTGAGTTGTCTCCAGCGGTTGTTACTGGCTCGGATCATCTCGAAAACGTTGGGATCATCAAAGTACTCGAACACATATACATCCGGATCGCCTTTGGAAGTTCTGATGAATTGCTTGTCGGACTCCAATTTGAACACTGCCATTTCTGTTTCAGGGTGAAAGGGGGAGAAAAGGTTAGAGCTAGATGGTTTGGATCTTGGTTTGATGGAAATCGGAATGGGAGCTTACCTTTTATATATAGGCAGAGCAAAAGCAATAAAAAAGTATGCTCAGTTGCTGACTCACGCCTGGTTGGTACAATTTAATTTAATTTAATTTGACCTTACCTGTGTGGTGGTCGGCATTTTGGCTGGGTTGTCTATCTTTAATTCGGGAAGTATGTTAAGAGGCTAAGAACCCGTCGTCAATTATTGGTTTTGGTACAACAGTACTTGGTAGGTAGCGCATTCACACGAGAGTAGATGAATGACATGGCTTCCGATATTTTTTTTTCCGGTTAATTGTATGGTTGGTCACCGAGATTACAAAAAACGTTCAAATTTGGTCACTCGAAATATTTAAATTCATTAGTGGTACTTTAGTTTACTGAAACCGTTCGCGTTTGGTCACTCTCCGTCCAACTCCGTTAACTTTGGCTGATGTGATAGTCAACTCTCAAAGTTGACCGTTAACTTAGTGACTTGGCAATTAAAAAAAAAAAATCTATTTTAATGTCCAACTCACCATCACCATCATCATCAGAGGAATAAGAAATCTCAGTGACCAACCATACAATTAACCTTTTTTTTTTTGTTACCATCATCTCCAATGTAAAAGATTAATTATCAATTTTCTTTACTCTAGCCCACAAAAAGTCGTTTTACTCTAATGAGAAAGACTAGAATGTGAAATCTCACAAGTTGCATTGCATATTTTCGATTTCATCACTTTAATTATATAATTTATGTTTTTATATAGTCAATAATAATTAATTAATACGAATATTTTGATACAATTTTTTATTTTGAACATATAAAGTTTATCGTTAAATTTAACGTGACCAATGAAGAAACACATAATTGGTTCAAATATTCACAGATTTATCACACGTTTGTCAAATTGAATTGTATCATCATATACTCATCTAACTTTAATCATAAATAAATGAGTTGTGTCATCAACTGTTTATTTAAATTTAATAAGAGTGACATGCGCCATCAACTGTTGATTGAACTATAATCATAATGAGATGTGTCATCAAATGTTCGTTTAGCTTTAATCATAATGAGTTGTGTCATTAATTATTCATCAGAATGATATGCATTTGCTTGAATGTCAGGGCTATCACTTTCACTATATGACATGCCTGATGAAGATCCATCCATCGGTGGAATGAGTGCCACCGGAGTATAAAATTGGTACATTAATTTAGGACAACTTGGAAGTATATTTCAACAATGCATCAACTTGAAATGTTTATCGGTGTCTGCTATAAAAATTTTTCGCTACTGCAACCTAAAAAATTAATTGGATTGTATAATTAAAACTAGATAAAAAATAACCAGATTAAGCACACCATAATAAGTATAAGCATTAGTAACCGCATGACTTAAGTTCTCTGCACTCATTCAATAAAAGAAAAAAGTGTTTTAACAACGGGTTTTATCCCTTTAGCAGCGGTTTCAACAACCGCTCTAAACCGCTACAATTCGGGCTCATTTGTACACTTTTTGCCCCCGATTTTTTTTTTCGGTAATTTTTTTTGCCCCCGATTTGCTAGGTCGTTTGAAGCATTTTTACTTCGAGAGATTTTCCTTGTTTTGGTGTTTTTCAGACTTTGGCAGGCGAACCAACCCCGGCGTCGAAAGTTGGATGAAAGGGCGAAAAATCAAGTCAAACGGTGGAAACAGTAGCAAATCACTGTTTGGGCCGTGTGTTCACGGTCACTAAGACCGTGAACTGGAGGAGCTACCCGTAAACTGCCAAGCATACAGAGCACAAACAACTTTCAATGGACATAAGTCAGTTCATGGTCGTAAGACCGAGAACTCAGGCCATTGTCCGTGAACTGGGATTAGTGATGCGGCGCGTTTCGACTTTAGTTCGTGGTCTGGGCTTTCAGTTCATGATCGTGAATTGAGATCGTGAAATGAGCCTGATCAGGGTATATAAATGAGGTTGAGCTGAAGGAAAAAAGGGAGAGACCTAGTGTGAGAAACTTCTTCTTCTTCTTCTTCTTCTTCTTCTTCTTCTTCTTCTTCTTCTTCAGATTTGTAGAGTGTGAATGTGACAAACCAAAGAAGAGGAGAAACTAGAGTTTCATCTTCAAGCAAGGAATTGGGAATTCCTCCCCCAAAGGAGGATCTCTTCAGCACAAGGACTAAGGCTAGCATCTCTTGGATGGTTTCCCATCTTCACTCTTGTGTTTTCCCTTCTCCTAGCATGGAGTAGTCCCTTCTTTCATTTGGGTGTTTGTTAACCCTAGCTACAACTATGTGAATGCTTATATGGATGAAATGATTTGTGTGTGGTTGTGTTTAATGTGAATGTGGAGGTTTTATTCATGAATGATTGTGTTGTGTGAAAGCATATCAATCTAATTGCCATTCTAACCTAGGTAGAGAGAAAACCCCCTTCCTTTCTTTGAAAGAGGCTTGAATGTTGGGTTTTCTTAGGCAATTCATTGTCTCTTATCTAGGTTAATGCAGGGAAAACCTCTTATTTTGTATTAGCACTTAGGTTTTGCTTGTGGGTGGCCGTCCGAACTCCGATTCAAGGGTGAAGTCTAACCAACCCTTAGTCAATAGGTCGAGAGAGTCACGTTGGTGGCTTCGATCATATCCCCTTCCACCGACCTAGAGACTAAGAGAGTGGCGTTGGCTACTTGTTACACTTCCCTAAGGTTTACAACCCCCTCACCACACACGACCATTCGATCCAACAAGTCGTAATTGTTAGCTAGGGGGAGCAACAGCCGGGTGAAGCCTTCTCAAAAAGTGTCAAATCCATTTAACTTTGCAAATGCTTTAGCTATAGATTATTGTTTTCACCAAAAACCAACCGCTAGATAATGTTTCAAGCAATCGATGTAGGGGTACATGAATCGTTCCGGGTCGATATTAAAACATACTTGCCCTGTATTGCACCTAGTTAAGGTTTATACTTGGGCCTTAATTGGGAGTTTTATTGTAGTGCATTTGATGTGAGTCAAGTTTTTGGCACCGTTGCTGGGGAATGAACGGTTCATTATTTTGAAAAGATTGTTTGGTGCTAATCTAGCTTTTAAATTTTCTTTTTTGTGAGTGAAAATCTTGTTTGTGCTAGAAGTGTTGTGGTTCTTTTGAGTGTGTGCAGAGAGGTGTATGACCCGGAGTAATCCGACACCTTTGGCACAACTAGACGTGGATCTCAACCGCACTCTCCGACACTTGGCTCGTGAGAGGGAACTAGCGGAGGCAAGAAGGATAATAGAAGAGGAAGTTGTAGTTGAGGAAGGAAGTGAAGCGGAGATGGCTAGGGGGAACATTGCCAATGCCGGGGGGAACAACCCCTATAGCAACACTAACAACCCGGGGTGGCGAAATCATCCAAATTTCTCTTGGTCTTCTCCGACCAATCCAAGACCCCCCGGTTTCCAAGGACCAATGGGAAATTATCAACCGCATCCTACTTTCATTCAACAAAGACCGCAATTCCAAGGCTCTAACATCCAAGAACCATTTCATGCTCAAGGAGGTCAAGGGTTCCAACAACCCGATAAGTTTTCAAAACTTGAAGACCTTGTGACCACCTTTGTGAGCACGAGCACTCAAAAGTTCGAGAAGATTGAGCAGTTTGTGGATGTGGCAACAACAAAGTTTACCTCGGTTGAGGCGGGACTAAGGAGCCATCAAGAAAGCCTTCAAAACTTGGAGTTGCAAATTGGCAATCTTGTAGGGATCCTCACCGAGAGGCAAAGGGGAGCCCTACCCTCTCAAACCATTGTCAACCCCAAAGACCTAAATGCCGGGTGCAATGCTATTCTTTTAAGGAGTGTAAAGGTTACCCCAGACGTTGTTTCTAAGGAAGTGGATGAAGAAGAGAGGATCCCTCCAACGATCAATGGTCCCGAAGAAATAGGAGAAACAGAAGAAGAGCTTAAGAAGGCATTGTCGCCGCCACCCCAAGTAGCCGAGTACAAGCCTCCACTTCCTTTCCACACAAGGATGCACAAGGACTGATTGGAGGCGGAGTGTGGAAGATTCATGGAGATGCTTAGGAAAATCCGCATCACCATTGCATACTTGGAGGCCATGGTGCACATGCCGAGGTACGCCAAATACCTCAAGGGGCTTCTCGCAAAGAAGCCTAAATATGAAGACCTCGCCAATGTCACCTTGGGCGAGGTGCTCCGCCTTTATCCTCAACAAGTTGCCTACAAAGCAACTGGATCCAGGTAGTTTCACTATACCCCTTTGCATCGGAAATCATCATATAGAAAACTCCTTGGCGGACTTAGGGTCAAGCATTAGTGTGATGCTTTGCAAGCTTTTTAAGAAGTTGAATTTGGGTGAATTGAAGCCCACTAGGCTTAGTGTCACATTGGCCGATCGCTCTGTTATTAGTGCTAGGGGTATTGTGGAGGACGTCCTAATGAGATTTGGAAATTTCTTTGATCCGACGAATTTTGTTATCCTCTATATCAGTGAAGATGCAGATATGCAACTCATAATAGGATGCCCCTTCCTTGCCACCTCCAAGGCCTTAATCTATGTTAATGAGGGAACTTTGGTGCCGAAAGATGGAGGAGCAACTTACTCATTCAATTGATCCTAATGTTAAGAACGATGTGGTGAAAGAATTGGATTCGAGTGGTATGAATGAAAGTGGAGGTGAGCCTCTCAAGGCAAACCCCACTAGTGTGTGTGTTCCATTTGATGATGAGGTGCAGGAAACCAAGGCGGGTGCTAAGCCCGGAGGAAAGAAGAAGAGAGTGTGGAGGGATAGACTTCATCAAGCCTCCTCCCAGCCAAAGGATAAGGGTAAGGCGAAAGTGCAGGGCCAAGAGGGCCACCCTAAGGAGCTAAAGGAAGGAGGTGTCAAGCCTCTCCCCGGGACCGTGGCGGATCCACTCTCGGTGGCTTCATGCCCTCAAGCATGATAGATCCGCAACATCGAGCTAAAG